TCCGTACTATGATTTCTCACATCGGATGAAAGGACTGAAGAGGCTTGTCGTCCGCTCAGAGATAGACCGCTGAGGGAAAGGAGCTTTAAGACTACACCGAGCTTACGAGTCGCTTACCGATAGGCGATAGGACAGATATAAGGCACCAGGTATATGGTGTTATCAATTAGGTAATGTCGCATCTTCTGTGCTGCTCAACCCGCTCGGTGCTTTGCCACGTCACTTAGGCTTTGGAGCTAGGGCAGGTAAGCTTTCTTCCTTTCTTTTTTTATCTTATTGTTGATCCAGGAAAGGTTCAATCAAGGAGGGTGGCAAGCCCCTTTATTATTATTAGTGAAAAGAAAAGGCTCAGCGCCTCACGTCTACTTAAATAATAAACTAGTACAGGTCCAAAGGGCAACTCTAAAAGAAAGCTCTAATGATCAGCAACTGGTCCATTCCAAGATGTCAAACATGCCTTACCAGAATTGAGAATTTAGGAGTCATCCCTTGCTGAAGGAAATTCATTAACGGCTCCTACTTCATTCACTCAAGCAGCGGATTCTATTCCTCAAGTGCCACAACTGTATTGTATATAATGAAGTCTCTTTCGAACCATTGGCACAGTATCAATCCGACTAGTCTTTAGCATTCTTTTCTTTCGAATTAGCTTCATAGTTCCGATGAATTCGCATATATGAGAACAAAGGCAAGCAGAGTTCAAGCTGTATTGCTTTCCCTTTACACCTTTAATGCGAACTCTTAGTGCGTAAAAGGATGTTTTATTGTACATTGCTGTTCGGATTCGACTTTCTTTTCACTGATCTTCTTCTCTTAAGGTCTTTGCCTATCGCACTAGATAAACTTACCTTTCTCTGCCCTAGGCATTTTCCATTAAAGTTAGGGAAGGTAAGCCATGTCAGGACGAGACATCACCATTCCTGCATTCGGTCTATGGGCGAAGTGAATCTTCTATACCGTCCATAGTTGGTAGGCAATTCGTCCTTCATGCATTTGGGTCCCATTGTCTGTACTTGTATGTTCTTTCTCTACCCACTCTTTTCAGGTTATCGGAGCGAACCAGTAAAAGTGCCACCTACTGCATGGTCTGTCCCTAACCGAAGGCCTAAAAGGAAAGAGTAAAGCTAGCCATAAATAAAGTTACACTTGTATGTGTAAAGCATATTGAATTAAGAGAGGATCAAACTCTTCTTTTGACTATGATTGGGAACTATTCCCTTATATAGAATACAATAGAACGAGGGCAGTTAAGCGGATATGGTCAAAGAAGGGAGATGGCAAGCAGGACTACCAACCTAGCTTTCCAAATCGAATAGTCCAAAGAGGTAAGCCATCGGTCCAGTAGTTCAATAGTCTAAAGAGTGCACAGGTAAGCAGAGACTAGAGACTAAAGAGCGTTCCTCCGGTCGGCCACTCTAAACCAGCGACCTAGCCTAGCAAGGAGGAAGGCAGTAGAGGCAACGGGAAGAAAGCTTTTTAGGAGTTTTAGACCTCCTCTTGTTAGAGGTGTTGCCAGACCAAGCAAGCAAATAGGCAGCTCACTAGCTCATAGAAAGCTCCAGCTATAGGATAGGTCTCTATTGAGCATTTCAATTTGGCTAAAGCCAGGGGCATGCACAAATGTGTTCAAATTCCAGGGAGGGGACTCTTTTACGACCACAATAGACTGGCAGCCGAGCTCATCGTAGTAGCGCTTCTCCAACTATTTGCGTAGAGAGAAGAAGAAAGGTTTTCAGTGATCTCTTTTCTCTTTTATTAAGCTTTGAGTTGATAGGGAAAGGCTTCCTCGAGTAGGACCACTAGATAGATCTTCAAGAAGGTTGCAAGCACACTTACAATCAGACCAGCATCAGTCGAAGCTTTTGCTCACTCTTCGATGAATGAACGAACTTCAAGCCTTGGTTCTTTATTATACTAGTATTGTTTCTCGAGCTTTGACGATGTTGCAACTTCAAGGGTTTCTTCTTACGAGTTACTCGCTTCTAGTGCTTTTGCGAAATAGCATCTTTCGTAATTCCTTAAGTAAGGTAGAGTTCTCTATGGTCACCTAAGGAAATCCTTGTCTTCCTTATTTATAGCCAGAATAAAGGCTATCTATTTAAATGACTTCTGCATTTTCTGTGAAAGAGTGTTCAGTGATAAGTCTTTCCATTCGATATCTAGCGAGCCAATAGATAGGTAGGTTGCATAGTAAATAAGAGTTCCAATCGAGTTATCTTACCCAGCCTCTTAGCTGCCTTTTCAAAGTAGCGCTTCTTGATACCTTTGGCCTAGGCCGGAGACCATTGGGAAGGAAAGATATTGGTTGGTAGGGGGCGCTTCCCTTCTTTACTTAAGATAGGCTGAGCATTGCTTCAATAGAAAAGGATATGGCTTTCCCTCTCTTCTTCTTCTCTGGTTTTGTCACTTTGTGTTGTGTGCCTACTTCATTTTTTCTTTTTTCTTAGCGACTTCTTCCATTTTTGGCTCTCTGCCATGGATAGAATTCCTCTTTCCGTCGGAGGCAATGGAAGTGGTACTAGCTTTTCAAAAAGACCTTCTTTTGATCTCAATGTACCCGCGGCTGAAGAGGCCATCTATGAGCTAGTGCTCGATCAAGTCAAAAAGGAAAAGCAAAGGTTAGCCGACCTACGTCACCCTCTTATTCAAAGGGAGTCAGAAAGGTATCCTAAAATAAGGAAACTGCCTTTGCCAAGAGATGTGGTCGAAGCGAAGAGCTAATCAGGCGCCTTCCATCCACTAAAGTAGACCAAGAAAAGGAGGGCAATGCGGACAATTTGCCAAATCTCAAGACGTGGCCGAGCGTGTCAAAAGGCGAAGAAAATAGGAACTAGACCAGACAGCTCGATGGAAAGGATAAAGCCAAAAATTCGGTGTCCGGGCCCACTCATCTTTGGTTGCAGCTTCGGCTGAAGCCTATGCACTAGCTTTTGATCATCAAATAGGCACAACAAGAAAGAGAAATGGATAGAAGGGATAGATCTACTTTTCTTTTTCTTGGGACTCTTTTCATATTTTTATACGCCCAGCGTAAGGGCCGAAAAGGATTCAAAAGTGTCATTTTTATTTGAAAAGGGAGGTGGGTGGGATCACGATCTACTAAATGGAAAGTAGCTTAATTGAAATCTTGGTTCCAATCCAAGTCGTGATATAGAAATGATCTTTAGCTGGTCATGGCCATAATGTGCTCTTTTTCCGTCGATAGAAGGAGATTGAAAGCATGGTTACATGCCGGAGGATCCGGAGGATATCGACATCAAGATCTCTTTCTGAGCTTTGTGATCCGAACTTCCACTCTTATCCCAGGCCCAGGTAAGCTAATCCAACTAGTTGGGATTTTGCATTCCGATATGAATTTATTCTTGACTCTAGCACTGGAGCACTGAAAGGAATTGAGCTAACCAAAGAGCTTTGACTCTTAGCTGCTCTTACCTAGGACTCTATTACTTCTGACTATGTAATAAGAATGATGCATAGGAAAGGGATGAATGAAATAGCAAAAGTGGAAGAGTCTGACTGGCTTTCCGGCTTGAGTCAACCCCATCGATGGAGATGACAATGCGGTAAAGTAGCGGAAAGATCGGATGATATAGGATTGTTTTTACCTAGCCAATTTAGCTGATGTTGTCGAAAGCAGACCCAAAGGGCAGCTATTTTGCTTCATTTTCCCTGAAGAGCTAGAGTGGGGATGTCATCGCGCGGATGTGTAAGCATCGAACAACAAGTTAAACGGGTGCAATTTCATCCTTTTGGACATATCTTTACACTGATGAGTGATGATCAGCGGAGTGGTCCAAGATGTGGATATTTTGTCTTTTTCTTCTGTTTCCACTCGGGCTATGAAAGGTCAATGTCTGCACCGATCGAAGCATCGAAACCGAACCTTGGCATTCCAGGAGGTCCATTGTATTATGTTTGTCCAATTGATCGGAAGTTCTGAGGTCATTAAGTCTGAGGTTAGGCAGCAAGTGGAGATTTCTCCACGGTTTGATCGGATGGGACACTATTGGGTTGGGTTCTGCCGAGGCAAGCCTCAGTTGCCCAAAGATGCGGATAGGTCGGTACTTGAGGAGAGGAGTTGTTTACAGAGATTTTTTCATCTTTCTACTTTCGAAAGTCGGGTGAATTGAATACCTCGTCTAGCTGTAGACCCATAGCAAAGCAGGACTCGAGCCCACGGCTAGAGGGTTTACGAGCCGGTGCGGTGTACGATCCATCCTTCCTCGAAGCAGCTGGAGAAGGCGCAGACCTATTATCCGATTGATCTGGTTGTGGAAGAAGGGAAGTCCCAGGAGGCCTAAATGCAATTTCGGCAGTACAATACCAATGTTTCAAAAAAGTCAGAAAATAGGATCCTTTGTTCAGAGCTAAAGACGATGTCGGCACCTACTTTAGTTGGAGTTTCACCACTTAATGAACCAGATCTGAAAAGTGGTTATGCCACTCGCCCCTTTGGTTTGATCTTTCAGAATGTCTGGAATGTTGCCAGGTATTTGTGTTCAAAGTTCTGAGTCGATGAGTTCCAGCCTTTTACCAAATCCCCTAGTCCGATGAACACAAAAAGGGATGCCTTGTTGCTAAACCGATCATATATTCCTGAGCTCAATCGAAGAAATAGACCGCTAGCTATTTGCTTAACACATCCGATTCGGTGATGCACACTTACTCATTTAGGAAAGAAAGCGGAAAGGTAGTAGCAAGGAAGTAGCCAGAAGAATAGCCAGTAGTATAGCCAAATGGATCCGTTCCTGGTCCTCCTACCCTCCTACTCCTGAGAGGAGTCAAGTTAGGACCTTCGGATACTATTTCCCGAGCTGTGGACCAAAACAAAAGGGGCGGATCAACTCTTAGCTCAAAGACTCATAGCTCCCATACGATCTCTATACTATCTATCGGTGAGCCCTTACTGAATTAGGGCGATCTCCTTCGACAGAAGCCCTGAGTACAGAAGGACAAGCCCCTGACAAGCCGCTTTTTTACGCCTCTACAAGCCAGAGTCTGGAGTCGGTCGTTTGTCCGGTTTGAAAGGCAGGGGCCGAGTCGATTCCTTACTGTTTCGAAGCGGATGGGACTCGAACCTACTTACTGAAGGGCCGATCTTTCCAATGGTCTGGATCAGAAGACGAGGGAGTTGGAACTACCGCTGAGAAGGTGCCTGTAGTTACTGAAAGAATGCACCCTTTGGCCTAATACAGGAGTGAGAAGGATACGGACGCGTGATTACCAGTATCAAAAACCGATGCATGAATTCTTGCCTTTGCTTCCTCTCTGTCTGGTTCTGGTATAGCTACAAGGGAAGGGAAGCGGTAGAACTATAGCTATGAAGGCATGTTGCAACTACGAATTGTATGTTGTATGCGTTACGCATGCTACAAAGGAGCTTCACTTTCTATGTTGTCTTAGCCCCGGAGATCTATACTTTAAAGCACTTGATGCCAGATTTTACATTTATGTATGGGAACTTGCGATAACTGGCCCAGAAGAGCGCCCCGACTTCCCTTTTTCATATATCTTGGATGAAATCCATCTCCCGAAAGGAATTACTAATTTATTATAAGAGATAGAAAGGACTTCTGAAAGCCAGTACCATTTTCCGATGTCTTGAAATAAAGGCGTACCTCATAACAGGCAAAAGCCAAATTCTCACAAAAGACAGAGCTAAAAACCGGTGTTTTTACTATAGCTAAGCCCATCAAGAAATGGCAGCTAGATCGCCAAAGCCCTTGACTTAATTAGGACTCATTCCCGGATCGGGTATCAAATTCCCCATTGAATAACCGATTTAAAAATGCCCTCGCGTGTGATTACACCTGAGCTCTTTAGGAAGTGGCATAAAATGTTGACTCCTTTTTAATTGCGCTACTCTCCTGAAACATCTACCGTAGGACTAAAGGACTAACTAGTCTTTCCTCCCGGCCAAACATCTTCAACTCCAGCTCTAGTCGGAAACTACCGTGTTGGCCCGTGTATATGTAGTTATTATATGTTGATTAATAGATAGTTAAGCGTATTTACTTATTTATTTCAATATTAAGAGCTCTAGCTACGGAATATACCGTTCCCTGATATCAGGCTCAGGAAGATGTGCTTTCAGGTTGTACTTTCCTGTTCATGTACGACATAGTTTGATCGGTTATAGATACGCGGGTGTGGAGCTCATATGATTCTTCCAGTGGTGTCTTCCATAGCTGGTCTAGTACCAATCATATCGATTGAAGAGGAACTCCTCAACGACTGCTAATCTCCTTACATACCTGAGCTCTTCACATGCGCATCTCTTCGCATATCGTCTTCTCTGATCCCATGAGACCTTGGAACTGCCTTACCTTGATACCGATCCCTTACACGCGTATTTACTCCTTGTCAGTCAAGCCAATACCTGTCTAGTCCTTTTATGAGGTTGGTCATGGGTCTTACTTATCAGGTTTGTGGAATGAAAGCAGAGGTGTCGAACCAAAGGCGAGAGCTCCTAACCAAGGGCCAAACCCCAGGGGCGTATTATGATGCCGGTGGTGTGTAGAATACCTTGGACTGCCTCTAGTAAGGTGCTATTGTTCTTATGTGATTTCGCCGTGTGAAACAACCGTTGGAGTCGTCAACACCTTCTATAGTACTGGTCCTGTAACCCGAGGTACGAGCCGTTTGGCTAGACTCTGAGAACGAGTAAGTCTGAAAAGAAAGAGAGTTCCTTTGATTAGGTTTCTGTTCAGTGGTATGATTTCTTTCCGAAGGCTCATGTCAAAGTCAAACAAACCGAAGGAACTCATCTAAGCGGGTATTTATCAAGCAAAGAAGCGGGGGTATTCATGTTCCTGCGGTCTAGTCGATAACTGGTCCTGTACCAATCATTGAAAGCAAGGAAGAAAGCCCAGTCGTTTAACAGCTCGTATTCCTTTCCCGTTGGTGTGTGGTATGGATTCTCTAGTTGAAGAACAGCAGCAGAAGTCGAACCAATGGAAGATGCAGTCATTTACCGCTGGTCTGTACAATGGTTGTCCTTGTCATAGTCCTTTAGAAAGAGTCGTTTACCCATCATAATCATATTGAGCTTAGATGCCCATGAAACAAGCCTTCGGTCTGTATAATGCCTCTATCTATATATGCAATTCTATAGTAAGGCATTCTGATACCGTTGGAGCTGTTATTGTTATAGGGTTTGTGTTCAGTGTAGAGCTCCTTTGTTTGTGTAGCCTATTAGGTCAGGATTCGAAGAAGACAGCTATGGTCAGGCGTCAAGGGCAGGAGAGATACTCGACTGCTAAAGCTGGCCAAGCGTTCAAAGACTGGAACTCATTAACCCGAGAAAAGGACCTGGCTACCGCCTTTCCTGAACCTGAAACCTTGAACCTGCTAAGAAAGAGGATTCAAGGGCAAGCTATAGTGGATCTACTGACCAAGTACCCGGTCGAGTCCTCGACTGACCTATTTTGGTAGAGCTGTTCGACTTCTATGACTGAACTTCGCTTCGCTTCGTTTGTTTGGTCGAGCTCAACTTTGTCGATCCTTGTCTAAACCTTGGAAATATTAATGCCATAATGCCTTTCAAATCCTCCTAGCCATTATCCTACTGCAATAATTCTTGCTAAGAAGAACGCCCATGTTGTGGCAATTACACCCAGAAGGTAATGGGTTACTCCTACAGCACGTCCTTGTACAATACTCAAGGCTATCGGCTGAGTAGCAGGAGCAACTTTGAATTTATTATGACGATGGATTCAAGAAGTTCTTGCTTCTAACCACGTCCACTGAATAGAAAGATGAAAGGCGAAAGCCCACACTCCCACATGAATTAACGTATGGCGCCTAGGAAAAAAAGTCCATATGCAGACAATGAAGAACCATAAGACTGAATTACCTGGGATGCCTGTGCCCATAATCAATCCCTCCGCCACCCATTAATAGTAATAGAACTCCGCGCGAAGTTTCCTCCCGTGATATGAGTTACTACTCCTTGATCACTTATACTGCCCCAAACGTCTGATTGCATTTTCCAACTGAAATGGAAGATTACTACTTTATACTAGAATTGTACATCCAAAATAGTCCTAAGAAGACATGATCCCAAGCCGATACTTGGCATGTAACGCCTCTTCCAGGTCCGAGAAAACCAAGATTTGCTTTATCCGGTATCAAACGGGAGCTACGAGCAAATAGAACACCTTTCAGGAGTATCAAAACTGTGACATGAATCGTAAATGCATGGATATGATGTACCAAAAAATCCGCGGTTCCTAATTACATAGGTAACAAAGCCACCTTGCCGCCGACTGCTACTAAATCACCACCACCCCAGGCGCTATGTTAATAGCCCTTGCACTCGGGGCTAAAGCATGGTTCTATCCATTGAGCGGATTCTAATTGTTTTCATCTTCCCAAGCACAGCTAAATAGTAGTCATGTCCACAAATAAAGAAAGGAAGAAAGATCGTCAACGCTTCCAACCTGATTCTATATTTCATGACTTCGTAAATGAGTTATTCCAATTCTCCATGAGTAAGATGGTTTATTTCGAAGCTTTTTAATGAGTTGTTGATCTCCGGAAGACTTCAGTTTCGTCGGTATGAATAGAATACCAAGGTTCCTATTATAGGGATTACTCCATGAACTACACTACTTCTCCGAACCGGTTAACTCACACTGATTCGAAACGGGAATTTATCATTCCCAATCCCTATGTCCTGCCGCTAAAGGAGTCAAGCAAAGAGGTATTTAACCCATAGCAATTAAACCAAGATAGAGTAGAAATCAGCTCTGGAACTCATTCTTTTAGTTTAAGATCAGAGTCCGTGGCACCAGCCTTTCTTTCTTTACTTTGCTTTTCAGGGCCGAATCAAGGGTAAGCTTGTCTTTCACCGACTCTTTATGAAAAGATTGATTCTTCCGGAACGAAGTAACTCGCCCTAATCAATAAGCGGGAGAGGAACGAAGCTCTAACTCCTGAAGTCAAGTATCTGATAAGACTTCCGCCACGGAACTCAATTACATCGAGCCTAATCCTAAGAGTTTGGCGCAGCCGAGTCTGCTGTAGAGGAGACAACTTATTTCCCCAACGAACGAAGCGAAGTGAAGTCAAAGAGCGGGACTAACCAAAGAGACGAGCAACTCGCACTAGTCGTAACAGAAAGAGGTTTCAGCATTCTCATATGCTTCCTAGCCAGAAAAGAAGGACTTATAGGTAAGTAACCTGTGTGACATACCCAATAGCTCTTCCAAAAGGGTCCTACTACTCCCATTCATGAACAACCTGTAAGGGTAAGGCCAATGGCATAACAAAGACTCATGTAGTTAAAGAGCTACTATAACGCGAGGTTCTTTCAGAACAGCTACTAATACAATGTCTAGTTGAGAAAAGCCAATCTCCTAAAAGGTCCCAGGTCTAGAAGTATAGCATATGTTGTAGATTCGCCGACGAGGAAGTAGTAGATTTGCTTGATTACGTCTACTTCTAAGACAGAGTACTTTCTATTCGCAAAGGGAAAGGGATAACAGGAACTGTAACCCCAGCTTTCAAGTCAGGAAAGAGAATACTAGATAATCTTTTGATCAGAAAGAGGTTTTATATATGTATGTTATATATGTTAACTACTCTCTAAGATCAGTTTGAGAAAAGGACCTCTGAAAGAAGATCTGGTAATTGAATATCCTCAGAATCGAAGGCTAGACCAGGAAGTAGTTGAATGGGAGACCATAGTGCTGATAGGTTATAATATTGGAAGTCGATGAGTGAGATCTTTTTCAGAGTCTTCGCTTCGGCCTTGGCCTTAGGGCCTTTCTCTCAGCCCCTTCACCTAGCGGTAAAGTGCTTTCAGCGCCTTGCTCAATTAACAAAAGAAAACAATTCGTGAGATGAGAAAAGAAATGGGTGAAGGAGCGGTAAGCCAGGTAAGGTAAGGAAGGAAAGGGTAGTGGGTGATGGTTTTCCTATTCATTTGAGAGGTAGTGAGCTCGACCGGAAGCGCAGACTGACTTTCTTTACTGTAAAAGAGAGGGATTGGAGATAGCGCCGCTATTAAAGAATAATCATTCTTACCTCACTTTATCATCGTAAGATTGGACTAGCTGGAGCTGAGACTAGCTATCAAGGCCAGTCGCGGCACACATGCTATATGTTATCTTTCATAGCATTCGAATAAACTAAAAAGAAAGTCTCTTTCTATCTCTTCAGAAATTACCTATATAAGAGAGTTAATTTACCCGCAGAGAAAAAGTAAAGATAGAGTTGCCGGCATATACAGCTGTCTAAAATATCCCAAACACTATGCACCCAAGCTAATGTACTATACCTATACATACGTGCTTCTGCTGATATCTGCTACAAAGAAGATAAAGATATCGTAGCACTGTTCCACGTTTACCAAAACGCTCCCACCAACACATTTCTATTGAAGTGCTTAAATTATCAGATGGCTCGCCACCGGCTGATCCTAAATTAGACCGTCAAGCTCTTGGGTCCTTACAATATCTCTGCTTTTAAAACTCTAACTCCTTTAGTTGCCGTATCTATGTTTATTAGAATATTGGTTTTGTGTTTTCTGATGTGTTGACAGTGTTTATGGGCACTTGTGCGGTTTCGGACTCGTACTCGTCTCTCTCGGAACTAGTGAAGGAGGGAAGACGAGGCTAGGGCGCCAGTTCCATATGGAGGGGGATGAATCCGGGTTGATCTTCAGACCGAAGCCAGTGAGTTTGCGTACTCGAGTGAGAGTACCTTGGTGAAGAGTACTTAGGTAAAGAGCATCTTCTTAAGTAAAGTGTTGAGTCCACAGGCCTTTCGCTATAGCTCAATTACATCGAACCTGGATGCATCTCTTTTTCCTTATGCCTTAGGAAAGAGAGATGCTAGCTTGGCCTGGAGAGAATTAGGTAACCTTAGGGTTCTCCATATGGCTGACAGCTAGAAAGCTTATTAAGAAAGTGTGGCGTCGTCTAAGCCACTGCCACTATGGTAGGCAAGAGTTTCAGGTCTTAGTTAGGCTTTCCCCGTCGACTAACTGTTGTGGTTTCATTCTCCGTGAAGATGCGGAGTTCAAACCAAACCTCACTTGTCTCAAAATGTGTGTGTGTACACGAGCCAGCCAATTCAAGCTTTTATTGCCAAGACATGAAAAGACTAGCGCTTAGAATCTTATTCAGTGGAGGTCAATTACATCGAACCTGGCCCTCTTCCTAGTGGTGACTCTGCACGTTAGCTTCTAGTCGAAAGGCGTTCACTTCTATTCTATATTCTCAGATTACCTTCATGCCACCCAAGGGCATCTCTAAGAAAGAACCTTGATGCAGCATCTAGGTAGTTCTCCAGTGTAACGAAGTGGGTAGACTATCATGTGTCCTCTCAAGGCGCTTAACTTCCCTTTCTTATCGCTCCACCGGAGAATATTTTGGAATAATAGGGTTCTATTATGTAGGATAGGATAATCTTGAGTTGGAAAAAGAATGTAAGGCTTACCCCCGAAACATTTGGAAGGAATGCTGCTTTCAACCGCCTTGAAATGAAAGGGCTTGCCCCATAAGTACTAAGGGAGGATCCGTGCCACACTAGGAGACCTGTCGCCAATGACCTTTGATCAAAGACGTCAGCCTGACGTCTTTTTCCTGGCCTAGGAGCTGTCTGTGAGTTTGCCTCGGGGATGGCATTGGTTTAGAATCCTCGCATAGAAGGAAGAAGTCTGGGGAGCCAAGTCACTAACTAGAGCTCAATTACATCGAACCTCAATTACCGCAAAAGCAATCGAGCTAGATAACATCTCAGCGACTGTAATTGTGTTCTCCGTGTTCTAAATCTTCCACTTCCCCCCTTGCCTCATAGGGATCAACTACTTTATTCCATAATCTACCCTAGCTCCCCTCGCTTCGAGCGCTTGTTCTACTTCTAGCTCGTTAACTCTTTCGGAGAAGGAATTTGAAAAAAAATGAGAAAAACCCGGTACTTGATCTTTTAAGGCATAACTGCCTCCTTACAAGTAGATCTCTCCAGGTTTTGAAAGATCTGGTTCGAAAGGACCAGGAAAGCTAGTGCTCTCTTTCTTAACCCTCCTCTCCTTCTTGTATTATAGGGCGAGTATCCGCAAACCTCTCACAGATAACTATTAGATAGGGCGACTATTTTCCATCCTCTCGTAGTCACTCGAGACTTACAGTACCTCCTTACTTAGCTCGTTAATTACACCTCAACGAACGAAGCGAAGTGAAGTCATAGAGGAAGGAGTGGGAGTACTGGAAGCCTATAGATAGGGTCTTAGAAGTTGAGATAAGGTTTTATGGAATTCCAGATTGACTTGGTTAAATATACGTTGGATCCTCGACAGCCGGTCCTTCTTCAGCCACTTCTTCGAACCCTTACTCTCCATTCTCTCTCAAATAAAGCTGCTGACTTCAAGTCGTCTTGAATAGTGCACAATCATAGCAAGAAGAAGTGGGAATAATGAAAAAGTCCCTTACTGCTACTTCTGTCAGCCCATGTGCTTCATGCGAGCAACTCTTTCTCGTTTTGGCTACTAAGAGTTCTGTCTTTATCGAATTTCTTAGTGCAGATTTGACCAATACTATTATGAGCGACGATCGACCTACCGCTCCGTGGGTTTTGACTAGTCATCATCGGTTTACACGCTTGCTGAAACCTCCCTCCATAGCCGATTGAATGGTTGGATAGCCACTCAACTGTTCACTATACTTCCTGTATCCCACTCTCCTCCCTATCTCTCTCGACCCATTCATCGGAGTATGTTGGGACAAGTCCTCCATTCCCATCCCATCCTTTATTCTCGTGTCCTTGTATTGGTCTCGTCACATCTCGGGCACATCCACCAGCTTATTGATCAAGTAAGTCATCTAACTCATCCAATGTTCAAAGAGAGGATACGAAGACTGAAAGGTACAAACGAAGCGAAGCGAAGTTCAGTCACTGGAGAGAGGTAATTGACCTTAGTGACATTAGCATCTATATTTAGATTAAAACATTCGGGCATTATAAGCAGAAAGTCTAGCAAGATATCAACCTAGGATGGAAGGTCTCCTGTAAGCCGGAGGGTTCCACTAAGTGGTCTAACTAGCATCCCCTCCTTTGGGGCCGCTCTCTTTCTTGGATGCTAGCGATTCCTCTTCTCGTCGCACCCCCTTTGGCAAGCTGGATAGCGGACAATACCTTGGTTGATGGGCCGGACTCTCGTCTCACCGGCACGATGCATTGGCATCGGGGATCCAAGATACATATACAATTGGCAAAAGGTACAAGGAGAGCGTTTATCCGATCAAGAAAGTCTAGCCCAATGACAAAGTCATAGTCATCGAGAGAGATTACCTCGTGTGGAACCGGTATGGGTCACCTCTACTAGATCACTCGTATGGACTACCGGCACTGGCCCATTACTTAGTCTTCATTAAATGGAGAACGGAACAAACTTTTCGAAGCGCAGTGAAGTCAAAGAAGCGACACGAGCTGAACTAGTGAACGGTAGGCTGCAAAAGAGTACGATTCGCCAGGGGATCAATACTGCCTTTCTTTCGTTGGCAAGTTCGGAAGGTGCTCTCTTCTCTACTCCGTCACATAGGATAGAGGCTCACTCTGAATCCATAGTATCCTTAATCCAATCGGACCTACCAGAGAAAGGGACCTTACGCTGCCGAATCGCAGTGGAAAAGAAGGCTCGATATAATTGACCATCCGGCGACGGTAACCAAATGGGTAAATCTGAAGTATGCGACGGTTGAAAATTTGACTAATCACCTCCTCCGGAAGAAAAACAGTAAGAGCAGCGACATCCCACCCTGTTACTGAGAAAAAATCAGACACCACACAAGGCGTATGTTGCATATCCGGACACACCTCCACTAAAGCTTGATCCCCAACCCAAGCTTGGATGTAACCTGCCTATATCTCATACAAAAAATCAATATTATCGCAACCAAGCTGCCATCTAATATGTGTTTCAGCAGTTGGACCAATGCAACACAACCTTTTCCAAATGGGAGAACCCGACATTGAAAGGACTTCCATAGGGTGCTACGACTGAAACTATTTTGAGTGAACATAATTTGCCCTATTTATTCTTGTTCGAGTGCAGTGGTCAAGCAGAAAAAGATGACTAATTCCCAAATTCCATAGCTTTTGGTCCGCTATCCCGATCATGATTTTCCTACCCACAGAGGCTCTGTCAAGACCTTTTTGGCCGGTTAACTGTCTTTTCCTTTGATCCATAAAAGGGTATTGGCTCGGGCCCCCGCTAATTTAGCCTGAAAGCTTTCTTCGCTGGAGTTGGCGCCAAGCTGGCTTAAAAGGGAATGCCTTTTTTAGTAAAATAGGAACGAAGTCAAAACGCGAAAGGTAGGAGAGGGGACGAAGACGCATCAGTAGACGCAGAAAGAGAGCCTCCTAAGGCATATGAAGTTGCTGATGAACTGAGGAAGTCAAACTCCCTTTCTATCCGGTATTTCTACCTGAGATTGCCCTTGGACTAAGGAAAATCGGACTCTTTGTGTGTAAACCAGGCGAAACCGAAACGGCCGAGAAGCAAAAGGGGGAGGTCGAGATCCATTTCTGTCGATTAGGATTAGGCAGTGATCCGAGTATACCCTCGGTAAGTGTCTCACAGATGCCTACGGGTACAAGTGACGCCATTCAGCATTAGCCAAGGCTCTATCCAACCGCACCTTCATATATGGCTTTCCGCCATGTGAATTTCGGGCCTGTGAATCCCAAATCTATCAACCCGCAATCATCAATCCATGACGCAAATTTAGCGCATTTCCTCATAACATTGCTGGAGCCATCCCCGTCCAGGGATTTAGTTGTGTTGAAATCACCCGCAAGCAGCCAAGGCTTATCAATTTTTTCTGCCTCCTTCAACAAAGCTTCAACAGGGCTGGCATAAATCGCTGTTAAAAGCCCCCATTCCCAATGGATTAGTCACTCGGGTAGCGAAGTGAGTTCCGTTTTTCTAATTGTGTATATAAAAAAAGAAGAGTTCTTTCTATCTTTCCTCAAGTAAGATAGTTGATCGAGAAACCTTTGCCCAGGCAACTTTAGGCGTCAGGTCTTGCTCTTTTAGATCCGTCTACTGTTATTGATATTGAATACTTAATACACTTGTTTGATCTCCAACAACGAGAGTTCGGTCCCTGGTACTGTGCCTATAAAGTCTTCCTAAGGCCCTTCGCCTATTGATGATTTCGTGCATCACTTACGTATTTAGCTGAACAGGGTAAACATCTTCCTTAAGCTTCCATTCTAGGGAAAACCACTGCTTGGAAAGCGTAATCCCCTGAAAGTACTTCCCTATAAAAGGTAGTGACACAGTCCAAGGATAGAGAATGAGAGAAGATTATCAAAATCAGGCCTCTCTCCAGCTGGTTTCTTTTTCTAATCCCTCGGCGCATTCTCTCTTAGTTAAAGATCTTCCAATCCACATTTCTTCTTCCTCCTATAAGTAAGTCAGATTTTCTTTTGCTTCTGCCGGATAGAGATCCTTTTCCTCAATTACATCGAACCAACTTTAGAAGCGAAGCGAAGTGAAGGAAAAGAGTGAGAACCTTGTGGGAACTAGGTTCATAAGGCGCGAGGGAGAGTGAAGGATAGTAGCGGCAAAGGAGATTTTTCCAACTGTAAAGGACCTTCCCGACTAAAAGAGATAGATCTTCTCTCCTTGGAGATCCTCCCTTTGAACTAGAGAGAGGAGTTCGAAATACCGACTCACTCGTACGACAGTACAAGGGGTGTGGTGGGCATATGAGAGAGGCGGGAAGGCCTCTGCCCAGATAAATGCACGAGTTTCGATCCCCTTACCACCCATGCGAGTCGAAGAACTTGGCTTGAATGCCGCCGTAGAGATCTGTTGTAGAACGAAATTCCCTGTCTACGATTCAGCCTCTTGTAGTCGCCAGCTAGTCAACCAGAAAAGTGTACTAAGGGTCGATGTAATTGAGAAAGCTAGTCAGTCTTTTTTGAGGAAGGGGCATGGGAGAGCGGTGAGTTGAGCAGTCAACGGGTGAGGAGAGCTTGTAGCGGGGCAAAGCCAGCATACATACCCGGCTCGAAAAAAGCCAAGAGATGAAATACGAGGTTCAAGCGAGCATGACTAGTTTCCTAGCTTGCGTGCTCCCCATGGTGTGTTTATTCTAATTACATCGAGCCTGGGTGGGGGACCATCATCACTAAAACCAGGTTCGATGTAATTGAAGCTGGCAAGGCCTGAAGCCGGCTCTGAATGCGGGAGTGCAGATTGTTTTGTAAACTCCTACCTTTACATCTACAGGCAAAGGAAAGATCATCACAAGAAGCCGTTCATGGGAAGAAGGGCTTGATCATGATAAATCCGTCCGATCTTCGATCCTTCTCAAAAAAGAGCTATCAAAGTCTCAAGTAAAGGGGAAAGCAAAACGTAAGGCTCGATTACATTGACCTAACAAAACAAGACCGAAATGCAAGACGAGTAAGGATGTTGAATTTGGTAGAGTCGCCGGAAAGAAGCGACGAGGAAGCTGTCTACGAAGCCCCCCCCTATGGAGTCAGAGGAGTTCCGAACTCTGCATAAAATGAGTTCTCTTTCCTTACTTTCGGAATATTGAGCAAAGTGAGTCTCGACCAAACAAACGAAGCGAAGTAAAGTCATAGAAGGAGATTTACCCGGTTAATTTCTTTCTGGAAGAAGCACCCATTTTCTTTTAGTAGTAACTGCCCGGTAGGTCTCGTTCAAAAGCCACTTTAGTGGATGCTTTGAGATACATATTGATATCTAGCGCTAAGCTGAGTGAGAGATTTATGTTTGAACTCTGTCTGTCTGGATGATATATAGGTCAATGTAATCGAGCCTCGGCCAATTAACTTGCTGCAAAGGGGGCAAGAAGCCGCACCGTGGGGAATGACAAGGCGGAGTTTGCCTCCTTTTACCTTACGCTATGGAGCCTGACTAGATCAAATTTTTCTCGGCCATCCCGAAAAAACCATGCAGCCTTAAATCCACAGATTCTGTCGCCGGCCTATTGAGGCTCCGGCTGCGCTTTGCTTCTTTCTTGAGAAATCCTGAATCCGAACTTGCTACTTGAATCACGAACTCGCAAACTTTATGTTAGGTCAATGTAATCGAGCCTCGGACGGTTTTAAATGGCCCTTTTCAGATTCAAATCTGAGAGTCTTATTATTGCTTTTAGAAAAAGAAAGACTTATTCGTGCTTTCAAATGGAAAGATTCTGGCGATTCTTGCTTGGTCTTTCACATGCCCTGCGAGATTGCTGTTCAGTGCCTCTTGCGGAAGGGACAGCTCCCCTTTCGCTTTCAACAACTCTAAGTGCTTCAATTCCCAGAACCCTCAAATTTCTGTCAACCACCTTTCTTGGCACACTCCAGACAAAGGGACCCCTAGTCGGGGAGCACGAGCGTCACAGGCAGCTAAGAAAGCAAGTCATGAAAACCCGTGTTTTTTTGATGTTCTCACTGGTAAGCAAGTTAGAAAAGAGAGTTAATAGGATGTGACTACTGCTCCCCCATTGTCAAATTCAACAAATGCTTTCCAACGAACTTTTCGAAGCGAAGTTCAGTCAGAAGTAGTAGAACGAGAAGAGAATCAAGCTATCCCAGAGAACGACTACTATAAGTAAAGTATTAACCAGGGACTTATATGAAGACTGGTGGAAAGCGGAATCGCAATACGGGGACTTCTTCCTATAGATACCGGAGAGATAAGATCTCAAGGAAGCTTTGAACTACTTCCACGTAAAGAAAGATTAATACGATAGTATTACCGATGGCTGGGAATGAGACTACTACTAGCGGGACCAAGCCGAAGCGCGTGAGTACGCCGTCCGTCAGTAGATCCGTGTTGTTGTTGTTCTTTCCTCCTAGTGGTGGAACCGGTCATCAAAAGCAAAAAGAAGAAAAGAAGGAGAACGAAGTGAGACTCTACAAACGAAGCAAAGCGAAGTGAAGTCCTGTAGAGGAGAGGAGATTATTTTCAAATTCATCTCAGATAGAAATCCTTCTTTGTGAAGTCTAGCTTTGATCCTTCCGCCGACGATTAAGCTCCTATGTTAAGTATGTCATTTGCTTCCGACTTCAAAAGGCCTGATGGTGGAAAGGTTGGGCATCAAGTATTTGGTGAAACACTATTCCCACTCGCAAGCCTGTGAGAGAGCAACCTTCCTCTCCTTTCAGTCGAGTTACTTCGTTCCATGTCCTAGATATCAAGGCAACCTTCAATCTATTTATTGTTGGGGAGACTCATCAAGCTGGGGCAATCTCTTCTACATATCATCATGAAATTCCGCTACAAAGAAAGGAAGCATCGTTACGATCCAAGCCGACAAAGAAGTCAGACTATCTGCTGAGGAGGAGATTATTAACATTGTGAATAACCTTTCGCCGACCGAGGTGGAAGAAAGCATTGGGCCATTCGGAGGCTATCGATTTCGATATGGAACTGCCTGGGTTCCGTCTATTGAGACGGAGATTAAGCTTTGTTATGTTGTGTACAGGCGCTCTTTTTCCACCCGTCCGGTGCGCAGCTGTATGCCTGTGTAGGTGGTCCCGGGAGCTCTTGGGCTTTTTCCGCTCGACCGCACCTACATAACTTTGAACCTGGAAGGTTTTTCTAATTGAAGGCATGGGTTCTCCGGCTGGATTGGGTTTATGTTCTGTGACTGGCCTTTCTCTTGTTGTTGTGGAGTGCCTGCAGCTTGACTCCACATAGTCCCACCCTCCTCGCTTGCACGCCTTCTGGCAAACGTCACTGAAAATTGTGTAGATAAACAAAAATAAGAGTCACGCTCCCCTAAGAAATAGGCTTAATCGGTTCGAATCCTGCCCCCGCCTAATAACTTGAGATGTGGGGGACTCACTCATGCTCTGTTCTTCTAATTCCGGAGGATTCACCGAAAGAGAGGAGGATGGTACAAACTTTTCGAAGTGAAGTTCAGTCATAGAGGAAAAGAAAGCCATTTCTTTTACCAAAAATCGAATCGAGCCTGAATAGCATCCATCCTTTATTTATGGGTAAAGAACGGGTGGTAACATACTTAGGAGACATCAAAACTTGCATTTTTCTTAGTCTTTTTCGAGCTTACTCCCCTATCTTCCCTTCCTGCCTTGTTCGGTAGGCTCGATGTAATTGAGGGGAGGATAGGAAGAAGGTATTAGCTCACTAGGCCTAGGATTCCATTCTCAGCGATGAAAGTTTCCGAGGTCCTGCAGTGAATTCGGGTCAAGCAAGCTAAGCCACTACTCTACCTCTAAGAACTCCGAGGGGCAAGCATAGGTTTGTAGACGCTCGACCAAGGGATGTCTTTCCACTGAAGTCGCGCGACTCGTAAGCCCGGGTGAGGAGGATCTCCCCCCCTCTCCCTTCAGTCGAGCTACTTCCTCTTTTCGGTAAAAAGCGAAAATCAGCTATCTGATGTAATTCTATTTCACCGGTGTAAGGTACGATCGGTGGTTCCGAGCCTTGAACTAACGCGTTTTACCGTCTTTTCCCGCTTGCAAGTTGTTAATTTTCGTTTAGAAGAAAAGATGCTTATCCTATGTAATATTATAAAAAGTTGGGTTCGGGTAAGATCGGACCCAAGCTAGCTTACTTCCGCTTTGAAGTTTCGGGGAACAAGAAGTTAGTCGACTGGAACGCGGAAAAGAATAGATTCCAGACTTAAGTCATGGAACATGGCCCCAAAGTCCTAATTTAAGCCTGCGAAAGAAAGAAATTAGTAAGATTTCACAGTAGGGCGGACGCAAAAATGGAATTGATCATCTGTTCCACGGGCAGAAAGTGAGTTTGTTCATTTCACAGCTATATCCGCATCAAAAAATAGAATTGATCGCTTGGTCTAGGGGAGAAATCTCATTAGTAGATTTTGCAGCTATATCGGCATCAACTTTCGCAATTGATCAGACCCAACGAACGAAGCGAAGTGAAGTCAAAAATAAGGGCTATAAGTAGGCCGTTTGCTATTGCGGGCTGCTCACCTTTATACGGTTTGGCTTCGCTATNGTGGTCGACCTAAAAAGTGGTATTCCTGCCATACCAGAATGCCTATTATCTAGTGCGTTAAGCTTCGCCAGAAGCAAGCTTCATGAGGTCTCTTGCCCGCTTCCAATACGGGATATTCTAGAATTTCGCATTGATGTTTGAAGCTTTTTTTTGATTAGGCCATCATTAATTTATTTACTACTCTTGTAAGAATTTATTTTTTATTGAGTTGCAGATCCCGAAGAATTCTCGGGAGTGTTTGATCATCTTGCCCTTTCAATCTTTCTCTTTTCTACCTTCTCCTCTACTACTTCTGACTTCACTGCGCTTCGCTTCGTTCGTACACTTCGCTTCGTTTTTTAGAGGTCAACTTTGCCTTTCCAGGGACTGAACTTCGCTTCGCTTTGTTTGTATGGTCGAGACTCACAAGCCCTCCCGGGACTTCACTGCGCTTCGCTTCGTTTGTTTGGTCGAGATCTTTAAACCTTCACTTCGCATCTAAAGATTACATTGACCTCTTCTTTGCGAAAGGATGAGATCACCTATTTGTTTTTCGTGATCCCGGGTAAGGAAGATTATCGAGATTTACTACACTACATTAGTAGGTGGAACGGGAAAGGCTATTCCACCCCGCTTGCTCCACGACCGTAGTCTGGGCTTCCCCAGCCACGGGAATGAAACTGACTTCTTGTTCTCCACAGTTTGGGTCGTACGATTCTCTGTGTCACTGACGAGAACTCTTTCGATCCATGACTCACTTGATCGGGAAGAGTGCACGTCCGAAGATAAGACCCCTAAAAAGAAATGTAGTTCAAAGGGCGGACTGCTCTACATTCAGCCACACCACAGTGACCCCCGAAGCCATCTTCTTCTAGTTGCGGGACGAAATCCGACAGCCAATTGCTGGCTCTGAATAACCAGCTCAGCAATAAGCTCAATTCTTCCATAAGATAAGGGGGCGGGCTTGCGCCCGAGTCGAATGACGTAGGTGCACAAGAGTACTTCGCGCCACAACCATCTCCTTTTTATAGGTTCTACGGACCGATGCCTGCTGCTTCATTTGGGAGAAAAGAAGAATAGATATGCCGGTCATTAGAAGGAAGAACTGCCATAAAAATCTTCCTCGTGTATCATCTGTAGCAAAACTATGAACGGGAGCTAGCAATCCGGACCGTATTTCAAAGGTTCCTGAGACACAGCATGGAAAAGTCACAATATTCAGAAAGGAGGTACAAGAATGAAGAAGGGGTAGAATTACTGAATGAATACAAGCTGTGGCTAATACCCGAGGCATAAAAGAAGCATTTTCTACGGGATCCCGAAACCACCAGCCACCCCGACCTAATTCATGATGAGCCCACCAACTTCCTGGCAAAATGCCTACGGTTAAAAACCACCGACATGTCAAAATCCAAATTCGAATTGGTTCCTGGTCCTGGTCAGAGACCACTGTGTTCGCGCCGGCGGTCCAACAAAGAGGCGCAGTAGTAGTCTCTTTCTTTCCATTACGAACGACACGCTTCGCCTGCTCCCTCCCCGTGTCCACTAGCGCTCGTGTCCAGAGCGAAGAGAAGGTTCGATGAAATTGACGAAGCAGCATAAGCAGGCTTCTATTGCTACGTAACAATAAAGCAGGATAGCATTTTGCGCCCACATCTTTGAATTTGAGGGTAAAGAGCTCGCTTGTTATACGGGATCCGACGCATCCAAGAGAGCGAAACAGTCTTCCATTCTGTTCAGCGGCATCCTGTAGCATTAGCGGCGAGTGGAGTGCCACAATCCCATTCATCATTTTTGATTTACATAAGCCAAAGCCCATAGCACTGGCGACGTCTCCGGCATAAATGCAAGGAGGATGTATAGCTGATATAGGATCTTGTGGAACAGGATTCGATTCTGCAAACGGTTCGGTACGAAGGAAGAAATTTCGAACAAAAGGGTCGGAACTCGCTGATAGGAAAGGAGAGAAAAACAAAGCAATGCCAAGAGCTCCGTCAATCCGCTGTTCATCGATAAACGAAGCTCTCTCTTTATCATCTCGTGCCAAATGCAACAAAGGACTCATCCTTTTTCCTTCTCGCGAACCGATAACGCGCCTAGGGCCCAGAGAAGCAAAGCTCATTTTCCTTTCAGGGTAAAGCGGCGAAAGGGCTGGTCCGTCAAAAGTCCGGTTCCTTCGCGAACGAAGTTCAGAATCAACAAGGGTTCGTAGAACGAAGGGAGTGTACAACTGGGGCTGCTTTGAACTTTTTTGTTCGTAACGATGGAGAGATAGAATGGAGTTCTTCACGAAGTTCGAAAGAAAGGAATAAAAAAGAGTTTCTCTATGGCCTCCTCGTTTTGAGACATTATGGCTTTTGGGTCGACCCCGGTAACAAAGAAGGAATCCATAAAAACTTAGGATCCGACACCATGATAAAATACTACCCTCATGATTAGACCATGTCCCTGAGATTTGATAAATGAAAGGTGCATTAGCGACGTTGTAATTGGATAAGTTATTAGGAATATGACGGAACGAAAGACCAAGGAAAGAAAGAAGAATACACCAAAATGCAGGTGCTGCACCAAACACCGGTGGTTCTTTCTTGTTGTAAGTGAATGCAACGAAAAGACCCGGAAATAACGAATAATGAAAGAATGAATATATTGACATTTCGTGCTCATTTCAAAATTTCTGCTTTGTTATTCCCATCATCCGGTAACCACAGGATGATCCACAAGAAAGGTGGCAGGATTCGAACCTATGGCCGGACCGCCCCTGACCTGCTGGGTTGGGTGGCCGGGTTAGCACCCCTCGTCGCCTCTGTACCCGAAACAGATGCGCTGCCCTACCCAGCGCGTAACCTTGTCTCCCCTACTCCTCTTCTGGTTGTGCCATTACCAATCGCGGCCCCGGTCCGGCCGCCCCTGACCTAAGAAGAACGATTATCCTTATGACCAGCTTACTTACTTCTCGAGCGAGAGTTCCACGATCTCGACCCTACAAACAAAGCGAAGCGAAGTGAAGGGAAGGGAAGCTTGAGTGTCAAAACAAAGCGGCGGTTGTTTTTCCTTGGCTCATCATTGATCTCTTGGAAAAGTCAGAAAGAAGAAACTGTATCCAAGTCCAGCACAGAAGCCCCCGGAGAGGGAAGGTGTAATTGACCTGATTCTTCCCCTTTGATTCACTTTTCGCTTTCGGTCCTTCTTTCTTTTTTTTTGTAGTAATGGACCAACCCTTGACCCTAACCCTCGTACTTTGGTCGAGTCTCACTTTGCTCTCCTGAATGACAAGAAAGACCAGAAGCGTCTATTCCAATACATACACTTAAACCCCGCCGGTGTTCATCCACTACTTCCCGAAGAAATAGGACAGGAAAGGAAAGATCCGATTAAAGGCCTTCCCCTAGCCTCTTTAGTGCTCTGCGCCCTAGAACCTGTTCCCCCGTAAGGAGCCACGTCGCTTCCTTCTGGCGGGAAAGCTAAAGACTCCTCTGCTTGTACGCGGCCACTTCCCTATTATTTGTATTTGAATTAGAGAAAGACCGGGGCAAGAGCAAGCAAAGAACGAGCAGACATGGCAGAGAAATCCACCCTTGACGCAAAAGCGCTTAGCAAACTAAAATGCACCAGTGTCAGAAAGAAGAGATTTTTGAGTTTCTTTTTGAACCCGCTGTGAACAGCGAATTAACTCACCAAAGTTGGCTTGGTTTCAAAACGTCGAATGTTTTTCCTATTTTTGTATTTGAAAAGTCTCTATCTCTGGTCAAAACTATCGAGCCTATTTAGAAAAGGATAGATGTAATTTAGAAGCGAAGTGAAGTCAAAAACTGACTCTTCAGCGCTTTCAGCCTGGAGCTTAATCGGAATTGGGCTAAGAATTCCGTTTGGTCCAAGTTAGATCGAGCTATGCAAGCCGATTTCTTTAGCCACGCTCATTTTCTGGCGCCGGGGATCTCTTCACAAGCTCGCCTTGTATTTTTATCTTTGAGCATCAGCGTACTAGTGGAACACCTTGGCCTTTTTTCAACATGTGGGCAGACCATGAGAATTTTATGCCCACATGTACAAGATATTTGGCAACAGCACGTCCAAGGAACAGCCCAATTCGACTTTTTTCATCTCATATAGCTGCAAAAGTTGATAACTATATTGACTTTTCACTTTTTTGACTTCACTGCGCTGCGCTTCGTTTGTTTGGTCGAGACTCACTTTGCTCTCCTTTAGATCGAGCCTTTACCCGACGAGGTAATGGGGGTTGGGGCCGTTGGACTTCCCTTTCGTCAAGGAGAATCCTGTTCCCGTGTTAGGGGTACAGCAAAAGTAGAAAGATCCGATGTGATACTTGTCAAAATATGGGCAAGTTTTCCGAGTTCGGTAAAAGCGGGATCGGAAGCCCCGTGAGAAAGGTCAAAAGTTCTCTATTTTAGACTAGAGGAATTCATTACTATATAGTTTTGACTTTCCTATGGTCAAAGGAGCAGCCCTTTATTAGACAAATGTACCACTTATCGACCCAACTTTAGAAGCGAAGCGCAGTTCAGTCAAAAATAACTAAATAAAGTGGACACATTTTTGAATGATAGGTTTCCTAGTACGGGCGGCGGCTATAAGAAAAAGATAGACCTCTTCCCCAACAAGAGGCGCCTTTTCAAGGAGCCCTATAATAGTTGTAAGGGAGGCTAGGGCCCAACTGACGCTTTAAAGATTGGGGCGGACCTCTTGCCGGAGATAAGGGTACAAACGAAGCGAAGTTCAGTCACCGACGGGAGAGGAGCGAAAGGCGATGCAAGAGGACGTTAAGTCAACGAAGATGCTTTCTATATTCTATTTCGACGTTTCAGGATCACCGAATAAATAGGCAAAGCGTCAGATGTGGTTGAGTAGTGATTGGCTTTGTTCCACGCTATCTGAAATATCAATATGTGAGAGTTCTTTGAATCTTGAATTATGCCGATGGTGTAGTTTTGAATCGAGAAAGAAATAGGTTTGATTGTCTATCTTTTTCTCAACAATGTCTTTACGATCTTTGATCATCTGAACCCGGATCACCCGTAATTCCTGTTGTCCTTCTGCCGGCCATTTGATAACAACTTACCGGATCTGCTGCTTGTTAATCAAGCTAAAGCTCAGTGAAAAAGGCAGATGCACTTTCTGGCATCATCCATGTTCTCATCTGAGATTGGGATTCTTGTCCTTCCGGGGTATACCCAGTTATTGAGTAAGGCGCTATGTTAATAGCCCTGCCCAGACATCGTGATGTTTGAAAAAGCTAACCAATATGAGTGAGGCCTCTGGCTGTTGTTCTGCCGTTCGCCATTTGGATATTGTGCTGCCATCCGCGGAGTCAACAAGATTGGTTTTCTGAGCTTGCTTCCCGGGCTATGTTTTAAGTGGTGTTCGTGACAGTCTAACAAGCTGAGTACTAATAGGTGTGTTGACCCTTCCATCCGGTGGCCCCTCCTGAGTGAGTGCTGCTTCCGTACCCACCCATCGCTCCCTGAAAGTGGTTGGAAATCCTTCTTTTCGAAATGCGCCTGTTGATTCCTCAGTTAAAGCGCTTTCATCGATTTAGTTAGGTCAATTGCATCTTTAGAAGCGAAGTTAAGTCATAGAAAGAAGTACACTACTACTTAGCTATTCCGTACAGTAAGTACTAGTTCGCTATCCCAGTAAGCTATCCCTTTCGTAATCTTATCTACATCAGCAGAATTTCATTCTCTTCGTGTGCACACTTACACATTGATTCGAATTTGCATTTCCAAATCTTTTCTCCTCTGTGCCCGCGTAGAAACATATAAAAGAAAGTCTGACATCTTAAGTTAGTGTTCCGCGTAACACGGGAAGTCTAATCTGACTCTGTGCACTTACCTCTCTCCATTTCAGACTCTATGCCAGCTTCTTCCAGAGCAGAGGTCTAAGGTAAAGAACTTCTATAGGCTTGAGCACGTTAGCGATATGCTTTATCAGAGTTGGCAAAGAAAAAGAAGCAACGGCTTTCAATCTATCTTCCCTCCTATTCACTCTGACTTTATCAGAACCTCGCATTTACGGCTAAGGTGGCCGGCGCATCTTATATCAGATTCTGCTTTCGAGGCAAGTGATTGAAACTAACCTCTTCAAATGGCTCGCCTAGTCCTCGAGTAGCTGTGGTATGGTCGTACTTTCTTTTTGAAATTCCCTTCTTCATGCTTGCTTTAGTCGGCTAAGTGTCCCTCGTCACCAGCGGTAAGGATCCCTGCAGTGCTATAGTGCACTTGGACTCTCTCTATCTCCGCTGTCTGGCTTTCATGAAGAAAGATTTCAAGCGTCCTCATGTCAAAGATGTTCGTGTACTTTAGAATTCGAAACAGGACTGCTCTTTCTAGGACTGTTAGCGCTGGTCTCTAGCCACCTAGAACTACCAGAGACTAGATCCACCTCAGGAACATTCAAAAGACTAAAGCCACCTGAAACTCACTGATTGTCTCATGCCACCTCGGAAGAGAAGAGATATTCTCAGACAGAAAAGAAAGGACTTACCACTTGGCCACACTCAGAAGCCGGAGTCTGAGCTAGTAGCTAGCCTCAGGTATAGAACTGGAGTTCTCTATCAGGGAATTCCAGGAGTGAAATAGTATGGTTTGATAGAACCAACCAGGTTGTAGTTGGTCGGAAAGTCAGAGAAAGATACTCCAACGGACTCGGGCAATCCCTTTACGAATCAAAGGGATTGGGCTGATTGACCCCAGGTTCCGGGACGAGAATCAGGTAAACAGTTGAAGTACCAAAGAGCGGTCCCAAGGGACGGAAGAAAGGAAGCAAACTGAGATTCCTAAGAGCCAAAGCTCTTAGCCTCCTACTAGCTGCATCCAAAGAAGAGATATAACAAAGGCTCGATGTAATTGACCTAACGAACGAAGCGAAGCGAAGTGAAGTCATAAAACTAGTAGGGAGTAGGCAGAAGAGAAGCTTTCTCAGATTCCTCATCTCTTGGGCTTTCTCCGGTTGACGTTGAAGCCAAAGAAACGGGGGGAAGGGCACAACTAGTAGTTACCACACCCATGGAATTATTGATTCGAATAGCTAAGCGAAGGCTGAATTGAATGGACGAGTAAGGATGGGAATACGAGCTCCTTCATCTCCTTATATACGTCGCCATGTTCCGATCTGTCGTTGACGGCCTTGTTCAGACAAGAAGAAGAAATGGTAGCCGGGGGTCAAGGGAACGAATTCACCCAACTTTAGAAGCGAAGCGCAGTTCAGTCATAAGGCTTCCGGGGATTGAGTGGACGAAGGGATCACAATAGAAGTCAGATGTACTATGCATATATAACTAGGTTCCCTCATAGATAAGCGAGATCTGATCGCGATATATTTGGCATCATCTCGTTTCTGGTGAACTACACTCACCCGGCTCGAACCTTGCAGGGGGTTCGACCGAGGCCGAATAAGAAGGGGGGCCAAACAGCCACTTGACGGAAGTTTTAGGGGTGAGAGCAGACCCCGAATAGGGTGAAGGTTTTGCCTCATTGGCAGCCGAGAGCAGCCTATTCTGTCTGTAGCAGCTTCTTCTTTCAAAGGCAAAGGCCTTTAGAGACTCGTACAAAGAAGAAAAGAAGTTCCATGACATGGCACTGGGAATTGATAGCAATAAGTTCCGCCGTCACACTATCTGGTTCAGGAAGTTCTCTAGCTTGATTTGAGCTCATTGGCTCACCAAGAGTCATTCCTTTATCGATGGGCAATAAAAGAGGAAAAAAGACTAGCTTCACTAAGATCCCTACCCCCTTGTCCTTACCAGAGATAAACAGCAAGGTCGACCTACGAAAGGATCACAAGGGCAATTATCATCGCGCCTTTCTTTGTCCATCCTTTCCTTTATGAACAGTTTACACTTCTTGCTTTAGCAGAAGGGAGAAGGAACTGACATCGTGCCCTAAGGCTTGATTGGCTAACCCGAACAAAGCACCCTAAATACGGCATTTAGGACATCAATCCCGAGGGGGAAGAAAGAGCCCTACGTATCCTTACGCGGCTACTGCTTATCCCTCTTTGGGTGGAGATGGTGATACAGGAAGTTTTGTGGCTTTGGTGGAAGGATGGGAAGATCCTTGTTCGGTAGACAGAGTCTTTTTTAGTTTGGGATGGGATCTGCGATCCGTTATTTCGGGATAGACTGGATCTCTTGGTCCGAATCCTTCTTCCTATGCTTCCAAACAGATTTCAGGAATGCCGTAACCTGCCTAGCAGCCCTTCCCTTCGTAATGACTTCTCTGGGCATTGAGTTACTCCTGGAGAAGTTCGAGTAGCTTTCGATCTTGGTCCATGCGAGCTCTCTGCCAGCCCCTGAAATTGCTTCTTCTTTCCATACTTTTTGCTGTGAGCTAGTGGAAGTGCCCTTTGCTCTCCTTAGGCTAACTGAACTCCTTTTCTCGAGGGTAAGTCTAACTTCGGGCTACTAAAGAATGGAAGGTAGCTAGCAGCTTCCATAGCTGTCTGGGATAGGCCACAAAGGGAAGCAGAAGGGGATTCATCGACAGATGGAGCTGTTCGGAAGTAACTGATCCCGCATTAGCATTAGTAAGGGAAGGACCTGGCTATCTTTTGGTCAGGTTTTATTTGGGTTGGTAGTAATGGAATGCTTTCATTATCTAAAATGAAGAAGATTTCCGTATACTTGATTACTTCTGGCCGGATGAGGTGGATAAGGAGGAAAGATTGATATCTTCTTTCTTCTTAGTCATCTACGTTATGTCAAGCGGTTTTGCCAGGTTATCCTGGAATACGACACACCATTTGAAGATCTTCTTAGACCCCCTGTCAGTCCACGACGCATAGAACGTGAACCGGAGGATCGTCAGGTCCAAAGGTATGGCCTAATGTATCGGGCATGGGATCTATTAAGGTCAGAGGTTTTTATTCCTCTTGACCCGAGGGTTAGCAGGTCTGAATGTATAGAATGGAATTTGTTCAGACTTTATGACTCGAAGGTCAATCAAATGGTTGATCCTTCCTAATCGGAGTTTCCACACTCCGGTAACACCTATTAAACATAAGTCTTTAGGCGTACCTGAAGGAAGCCATCCGTGAGCAATTCTTCCCATAGAAGAATGCTATGCGGGCATTGCGAGATCTCAGGCACACGGGGAGCGTGCGATACTATGTGAAAGCTTTCTCGGCGCTCATCCTTGAATAAGGGATATGTCAGAGAAGTCCAAGCTCTTCCCATTCCTTTTAATTCTTCTCTCGCAAAGCATCTGATCCATAATCATGTAGGGAAATCCCTGGTCCAGAAGAAGTAACTCGTAGTGGGACACTCCACACCCGAGCTAGAGTAGAGCAAGGAAGAGTCCGTCCCTTGAGTTCGTGACCCCAATCCACGAGACAGTCCATTCTCTTTGTTCGATATCACAAAACAAGGTTCCAAAGATTGGTCAACGAATGACCGATCATACGATCCATCCTTGTTTAGTGTAAAGCAGCTGGAATGGAAAGGGAGAAGGTGTGACAATAAGATCGTATGTATGCTGGCTGGGTAGAAATGAATAATCCAAAGGAAGAGGTACCCATGTAGCCATCACCCTTACTTCAAGACGAGAGAGTCACTCTGATCTGATTCCGTTTCTAGGTCACATGGTTGAAAGCACACGTAGTTGGTCAACAAAGATTGAGAAACCGGAACTGGCATGAGCTTTCATTGAATGACCCGTCAGAAGGGTAGCTCATCTCACAACCAGAGATTGCATGAGGGTCTAGGTACAATCGTCAGACGAGAGCAAGTCGTGATGTCAGGCACAAAGCCTTTCCCGTTGAATCAGAGTCTTGAATTGAATAGGGTCCCTTATCCCTGCCTGAGAAGCATTAGATTCTCAATTGTTACCAGGTTCCCTTTTGACTTGACTCTTCGTCCGAGATAATCTAGTATAAGGTGTATGGGCATGGCATGGTTCATTCATGTTCTTGCTTCATACCCTCATCTGTATGCCCCCTGCTTTCAACCAGTAGGCTGACAGAGTGCAGATTCAAACATCATAGGGCTTTCGCACCCTTCCTTTGAAGATCAGAAAACTACATGCGCATCATCAGACGCCAAGCTGGGACAATTCTTTCCCTTCCAGTCCCCAATATGAAGAATAGAAAACCACAGGGGACAAACTTCCATGATTCATTCCTTTTCAACTGGTTCCTTGAGACTATAACTGGTATACGCGATGTGGCAATTCCGTGCAAAAAGATGAGGGAAACTATGATTATGGGTAAGATGAAAGATTCCAAATGGATTCGTCATTCTGTAGCTCTAGCTTTCTTTTTGTCAATGCTTTCTGGATTCTATTGTAAATTTCTAATGATGGATTCCTTTTATGGATTTCAGATGTGTCTTTATAAACTAGCTTTATCAGTCGGCAATCAAGCCTTCTCGAGGCTCTTGCTAAAAAGTGGCTGCTCCGGTGGTCTGACCTTGGCCATTGGATTCGTTGTAAGAATGGCCTTCCTCCCTATCGAAGGCACTTTCTAATCAATTCGGATGGGTTTCCTAGATCCCAGGCATTAGAGACAGCAAGGAAGAATATCAAACTTCTATTACTTCACTTCGCTTCGCTTCGTTCGTTGGGTTCGTCCTCGTAAGCTTTGGCAGGAAGTAGCACAGGAAGGCAGCAACTCTTGAAATCAAATATAGGGCTTCGCGCCTCCCGCTGTAGGACCTTGCTGGCACAACGTAAACACCTTGAACAACTAATCCGATTACTTAGGAAATTTCGAAGCTTTGTTAATAAGAAAGGAATCGTCNTCCTGTCTTTCTCCCAGTTGTTTAGCCGGACGAAGTAGAAGGAGTCCTACCATGATGTTAGAAGTTAAGATTTAACATCCTGGTAGTGCTGCCATTGCTGAGGTGGCCAAGCAATAAGGCAAACAAGAAGGCAAAGAAGAAAGGAAAAGCAAGTTGTTGACCGGCATCTCTCTATGGGATCGGGGTTTTAAACAATGGTACCAGCAGTTCATTGCCTGCTTCCAAAGCCTTCGGACTTAGGCAATGCTACGAATGAATCTAGTCTGAGTCAATTGGTTTTCCCGACCGGGCCGGGGTCGAAGCCGAACCACCTTTCTAAGCTATCTATTGAATGAATTTTCATAGGATTATCTTAAGAGTGAATTATGAGTATCGATTCTTTTCCTTGTTTGCAACGCAAGGGCAGAGAAAGAGTTTACTTGTGATGTGAAAACATCACTCGTCTTACCCTTGAAAACTTCACTATAGACTGCTTTCTTAGCCAATAACTCTATCTCTGAGAAGTAGTGCTATGAGCAGGCTCTTTGCTTCTTTCGTCTCATCGAGTCAATATCGAAATTGATCACACACCTTTTCTGAAACTAAATTCCCAAGAGTAATAGAGATCCTATACTTGATTTGACGATTCCTTTGGGAAGAAAGAAGAAAGCGGTGGCAGGATTTCTTTAAATTGACTTGGGAAGAGTGCTTTATACGGCCGGTTCCCCTCTATCTATCATCTGTTCTTGCGCAGAAGTTNGAAAATCTCTTCTATGAATATTCATAGATGAAGTGCTATCTAAGGGGCGGAGAAGCCCAGCCCTTGAATTCCGTTCCGTAGTTCAATCCGGAACTCCAGATGTGTAAGTAGCGACCAAGCGGCTCTGTCCTTTTCAAAGAGGTTATCCTTCTCTGTCCCCGCTTGTTAGTGTTATAGGATAGCTTCCCATTCAAGTAAGTCACTTTTCCCGGGTACGCGGTTACTGTCTTCTTTCTAGCCCTTTGTTTCAAATTGGTAGCAGTCCCTTTTTAAGCACCACCTTTCCTTTTCTTCTCTTTCAGCAGCCTCCAATCGTAGGCCAGCTGAAGACCGAATAAAGCAGTTCAAGCCCGCTTGAGATCTCAACAATGACCTTTCCTTGACTTTGCTTCTAAATACTTCTGACTTCACTGCGCTTCGCTTCGTTCGTTGGGTCGAGTATCTTCAAACCTGGTAAACAAATGGAATCATCGTGAGTCTTTCAGTGATGACTAAAACCCGTTTGTCTCCGGTCTACGGTCTATGGCCTCCGGGTCTTCTTCTTAAACCAAAGGAATACAACCAAGTCCTGGAAACACAAGACTACAGCCGTCCCGCTTTGGTAAAGGAATCTGACTCTGATTGGTAATGTTGGCGATGCCAAGCATGCTCAGGACGGATCTAGCACTAAGAAAGTAGGAAGGAGGTTTTCCATCGGGCAGCCTTCCTGAAAGCATTTCCTAAATGCGAGAGGTTTGACAGATGACCGGCGGAATTGCATTCATTCATAGGTATCCTATCTCTCGGTTATAAAGAAGAAGGAAAGAGATTCATATGCCTCTCCGGTTCCTAAGGCGTAACCACGCAATCTTTAGGTCATCCGGTGGCGTGATTGGTTTTGGTTTTTGATACATGTCTGGGCAGGTATGATGAACCATTAACTCAGCAAAGGCAAGTGAGACTCGACGTTGCCAGGAGAGGGTGGTCGTAGATCAGAAGCGAAGTGAAGTCATAAGTAGTAATTGAGAGGAAGCAGAAGATTACCTACCCCCTACCGCCTCTTCGATCCTTGGACCTGAACCTTTTGACTTTGTGGCAGGCGCACGCAGGTAGAAGGCAGAAGCATAAGTAAGCGGCATGAACCTTGTTGATCAGCGAAGGGTCAATGTAATTGAGAAAGACCTGCATCTGGCTTGAATTCCGACTTAACTAACCCGGAAGTTTGGTTATCTGAGCCTTTCTATTTATAGCGGAAAGATGGTTCGATGACTTCACTGCGCTTCCCTTCGTTCTACCACTGAGCTTCGTTTGTTCACTTCGCTTACCTTATATGACTTATACTTCTACTTTCTTATCGCTTCGTTTCTTCACTTCGATTACCATTTCTAAAGTCTTCCCGGTTCTATCGCTGTAGAGTAGATTTCCCAATCCCCATCCGAAGAAGAAAGCAGCCATTCCGACCTTCCAAAGCGAGGGTTCTTCTTTGTTGGCTTATGAGTCGTTGGTGTAGTATTCCTGGTCGATGAATTCACTGCCCTAGCTTACGGTGCGTCCATGCGAAAACCCTAGAAAGAGACCACGTATTTAAGGTTGGTTGCCGGAGTTGCTGCTTATAGCTTTGCCGACCGAGTCCTTCTTATCTATTGTTCAAAACCCGAGCGCATCACATGCCTTCGAAAGCTATCGCCAACGAGTTGAAGCATTCGCTCTAAAGTCTACATTCCCACCTACGCCTACGCTTCCTACTTCGGTCTCTCCCTGCTTGGGATCGCTCCCTTAATAGTTGATTCTTAGAGGGGAACTGAACCCGATATCGGATGTGCTGATGGTTGAACTGAAACTACTTCGTTTACGTTAGGGTTTAATGGAAATTAGCGACCTAGTTGATTTGCCTCTTGCTACTGAAAGCTATTGCTCTTCCCTTGAACCAGTAAACAAAGAGAGCCCTTGAGAGAGAGAAAGACAAGGGTCAATGAAATTGAGAAGCTATGGGATCGTCGACTCCCTTACCAAGTAGACTATGAAGTCACTCTCGTGTTTCTGGTTGTGTATGCTATGTGTTTTTGCCCAGTCATCCACGAAGTAGATTCGAGAAGAAAGCTATCCTTCGTTGGATATGATAATGAGGGTGGGAGTGTTGTGCTTCCAAAGGTAGGGAGGTTGCTACTGTACTGGGGAGCTCATCCATCAGGAAAAGGTATGAAGTGTGTAAGCGTCAGAGGTCTCTCTTATACATTATTGGTGGGTCGTCCTCGCCAATCTCTTCCCATTCCCTTCTAAAAGATAACAAGAGTGTGGGGATATATATGGCACTTACTTATGCTTTGATCTCCTCTTTTGAACCTCAACCTCTTCTGATTGTAGCTGTCAATGCCAATTGATATCATAGATTGTCAGAACTGAGCAGTTAACAGAAGGAGAACTTGGCTAGTATCTGCCCTTTCAATTCATAAGTAAGATTTTGATTTGTCTTTGCTTGCCTAAGTATCAGCTTTGGTAAAAGCACTTGAAGAGCAGCTGAGTAAGGATAAGAAAGCCAATCGAACTACCAGGAATTCTGTGTTTAAGAAAGCTAAGCAGCCAGGCCAGTACGTGAGCCAGCCAATGGTTAACTTTTAGGAACTATAACAACTGGACTTCACTATTGAAGATACTATGAATTCCCAACTTTCACTTCAGTCTTGAAAAAAGATCTCCACTCCGCGGGGTTGAACTTACTCTAGCAACGGAAACTAACAAAGTAAATACCTCGACTGATATGGTTTCTGGATTTCCAACAAAAACTGAAACTTGAACTGAAGCTTCTGCCCTTTGAATAAGTGTATTCAACTCATTCGACAGAGTGGTCTGATACCGCAACATAACTTCCTAAATGCCCAACTTCAACTCCACTTTTCTCTAAGCTTCGAACTGACCTAACCGCTTGAAACTAGAGATTTAAAGGAAAACATCTCCTTGCTTAGCTTGCCATTAAAGAGTAAGATGCTTATTTAGACTCTTCTTCCTTTATATACTACTAGTTGCTTATGCTTTCTTTTTTACAGGGAAAGCTAGTACTTTCAGTCAGTAGTTTCCGGTGTCAATTCCAAGAGCAAAAGGATAGGTTTTGGTTAGTTCGGTGCTCGGGTAAGCTTCTTCGGTGCCTACTCTCTCTGTCCCCGCCGCTCCTCGCACAAAGCTTCTTTTCCTTCTTGTCAATCAAAGGAAAGAAACTACTGATAACGTACGTAAACTACTGGATTCGTTTCCTAGCACTACTCAAGGGCTATCCTAGAAGTACTAAATCTTTCATTGAATATTGAAGGTACAAGCTCAAAGTAATTCTCTACTTACTCTTCGCTGCCCTCTCGACGGGTGATCCTTCTTAGGACAACTAGCCTAGGCCCATGTCAAATAACTCTTTCCCAGAGCTTTTTCAGTTCAAGAATTAGTATAAGTAAGATCCCCTTTACTGATGCTTGGTAATTGGGAGTTTCAAGGATAGTGATCGGTAACTTGCTACACAATCGCTTCTCCCGTCGCCGCTCTCATCGACTTTTATTCCCCTATCTTAATTTAGCCAAAATCACTAACTAATTCAGTTTAAAAAAGAGAAATATGCAACTTCCATACATTTTGAAACATATTTATAATCCATTACCGGATAACTAGTATTAAAATAATCTTTCCTTTACCCAAATCCAATAAGCTATAGAATCTTACCATACCCACTCAACTGCGGGAAGTGTAGGGTAGTCATGTTATCCACTACCATTGGCTGCTCTAATCGTTGATGGGAAAGATTGGGCAACGCATAATACCCTTTTTATATGTAACTGTATGGAAGTTGGGAAACTCGTGACTCGTCGCTTTTTGCTTCGCACCTTTGTAGCTTTGTAGAACAACCTACGACGGAACCATCAACCTAAAAAACCAAATCTAATGGAATGTCACTCAGTACTCTTATTTGGTAATGAAGAAGATAAAAAACCTAATCCAATTTATCCACTGGTGGTAAGGTCAAAGCCTACTCAACTTCTTCTGCTTGAAAAGACCTATTAGTACCGAAGAAAGACTTCCTTTATTAGCTAGGTAGATGCATGCCTATCCCAAGCATAAAGAAAGTAGACTTTGCTATGCTAAGCTAATGGCTGCTTCCCTTGCCTTGACTACGCAACCTAGCCTGCCCAACTACTTGACTCAAGGAGCATATGCCTATGACTCTGTGGTGCATGCTTGATAAAGGCGAAGAACTATCTATTGATGGACAGCTCACAATTCAACTTGAATCAAAAGCAGTTGACGACTTACCATGGACGAAGAGAACCGGTTGGGTTGACACCAGGTGATGTTACAAAGAAGACAAGTGCCAATAAGGGGCCCCAAGGTGAACCTATGGCTCTTGAGTCTGATCTTATGTGGAAGCTCCATAGAAAGTCAAAACGGAGTTCCTAGAAGGCAGGCCGAGTCCCCACTTCCCATTACTCAGGCTCCTTCGGTAGGTAACTTTGACACCTAGGAAAGAGTTACGACTAGCAAAGTTAATCATTAAAATATGGTTACGACTCACCCATCGTCTGACTGAAACCAAAGCCGACCTTCCTTACTTACCCCCGCAGGAGCGAAAACGATTGGTCACCCAGGCCTTTCCTATATCCCTTGGCAAGCTAGTCGAACAATGCAATCTCGGACTTATGAAAGGTTCTTTCCTGCCTCTAATACAACCCGATACTAACTTACCGAATCTAACCATAGCATCCATGATACGGGACGAGCCTGCGACTGGGGCCACTTTGGGAATCTTTCCCCAAATAAACACTCCTCCATTTTCAACTTCAGGAAAAACTGCAACATACACTGAATCTGAAGACGAAGAAATTGAACTAGCTGAGCTAGAAAGACTACAACGAGCATAATCTTCTTCTCAACTAGCATTCTGTTAATCCAAGTTGGAAGCTCTTTCTCGGTCCTAATCTGGCAAACTTGCCTTGCCCAAAAGAGCTGAGCTCCTAATCTCAAATCTGAGAACTTTCCAATCCAATGGTAGTTTATCTCCTAACGAATGGTAAACTGGCTTTGCCAAACAGGCTTATCCGGGCGACTGGTCGATGGAAGGACGCTTGGCGAATCAGTCCAGTTGACGACGCTGGGTACCTCTTTCTAGCGCTTTGCTCTCCTCAGGTTATCTTGCAAAGCGGTGCTCAAGAGTCTGCCCAGATCCATGAGTTCTGAGCTGGATTCGATTTCGCCTCCTAAATGCATTCATGTAAAATTCATGAATTTTATGGATTTCGAAAGCATCGTTCGGAAGCACTCCTTGGCAGACTATCAGCTGTTCGCTGGCAGGACTGGTAAATCCCTCCCTTTCGGAAAGGGGTTCGTTTTGGACCGAGCAGTTAACCCCGAGGAACGAGCCTTGTGTTCAGAGCGCTTTCCTCGATCTAACTCGAGCGTAGATAGATATTCGTCAGCAATAGCTCTTTCACTTGTTCTTCATCGTGAGGCCAGTTTTCTTGGTTGGAACGATCTATATTATTGGGTCTTCGAGATCGAGGCGCTAGTCCAACTTTCCCGTCAGCAGCTCCTTTTCTCGCACCCAAAGGATATGGTCTTCCACTTCCACTGGTATTAGAGTTGAGTTAGGAGTTTTAGGTCCGAGATAAAAAAGCAACTTTTACACGTAAGCTTGGGAAAGGAAGAATCGGGTTTATCTCGATGTTTGACACTAGAAGGAAAAGCACTTCCGATAGTAGCAAGAATATTAGCATAGAATACAGTGGATTTCAAATCTAGCAGCTGGTATACCGGGCTTGGGTCAAAGGAAGGAGACGAACTTTGAAGTCCAGTACGAAATTGGGTCTGAAAATGGCTCTCAGATTTTGAGAGTTTAGGACTTTTGATCGGGATTTACCCTAAGAGCTGAGCTGCCAGAACAGTAGGCACTTTCAAAGAAAGTCCTGTACCAGAAGATCGGGTATAAATCGAATAGAAATATTTATACGATTGGTCAATGAGAAATCTATTTTCTATCTACACTGGTTTAGATAGAGGAAGAAGATCTTTACCTGAGGTCCGGAAACTAACCGCTTTGGAAAAGGCATTTACAGCCGGAAGGTGAAAGCCAAAGCAAGAGGTACCAAGCGTCGGAAACAAGAACAAGCCGCTTTGGGCGAGGAAGTCCTTCGATCGACCAGATAAGACAGAATATCTGGGGTTTAGAGAATGGGGTTATTCTATAGGGTGGAAATGAACCCCCTTCTATCTGGAAAACCCATTTTTTGACTTTTTATGACAAATCTACCTTAGAGAACTTCCAAACTCACGTTTCTCTTACCAGGATTTTGAAAGACTAATATTAGCGCTTTCCAACATATTGAGAGTTACGCGTGTCAGGACCTAAGATTGAGGGGAAACTCTTCCTTTACGCGCAATATTAGTAGCTACTCACCGACTACCCGATTGAATGGGGTATACTTGACATAGATATAACGTAAGGATATTCTAGGACTCATTCCACGATAGACCAATTATAGTACTGGATTGCTTTCTTTACTTTACAGCTGTGTACTGGACTAGATTCCTAGACTACCCCAATCACGACGACCACTCTTCCCTCTTGAGATATATAGTCGAACTTACTCTTTAGCTCGAGACATTAGGATCAATTCCCCAACTCCAACATCTTTTTACGCAATGCCTCTTTCTTTAGAACCTGATCCAGACTTTAGGAGACTACTCCTCTTTATCCTAGCCCGCTCTAATGATGGGGTACTAGATATGACGGAGCAATACTAGAGGACTGAGAAGATTAGGAAGAGGGGTTCGCTATTTTGTCCTAACCTAGAGCTTACTTACCTAGAGTTGGCTAACTAGCTTTCTTGACTCCAGTGGACGCGGATCCTGATCGAGGATTTTGTAATTAAGGGAGCAAATGGAAATGCTGGTTTGGTAGTCCTGTTCAAAAGAAAGGAGCCCTTGTATCGGTTCTTCCGCTCGTTCCTTGGTGTTGGGAATTGCCCAGTTTTGGGATTGAGGCTTTGGAGTTGTTCTTCCCCCCCGGCGTAGTAGAAAACAAGGGATCCTGTCCGAATCGGGTGGGGGAATAGACTATTCTATATTGGTCAATTGGGTATTCAGATTTGGTATTCTCAGGAAGTCGATAAAGTGCGAGGTATGAGTCAGTCGTCGATCTTGCCCCTCAAGTGCAAGTGTTGTGGTGGACAAGCCGGAAAGCGAGCTGGAATTCCACTGTTTTCGGAAGATAAGATAGCTTTGGAGTTCGGATTCCAAGTTGGGTCTGGAATTAGAAATATGGTTAAGAAAGACCAACTAAAGAGTTGAAAGCGAGGCTTCAGGTCTTTCCTCGGTATGACTTTCAAGTTGGCAAAGCAGAGCTCGGGTTGAGATGATATGGTAAGCAGGGTTGCAGAGTATGAAGACGAAGATTGAGAAATAGCAACTTTTACACGTAAAGTAAAGTTGGCATCGCGTTAAATTATTTCGCTTTCTGTCGAGCAAGAGTTTAGTTCGTAGTGCATGGGGAACTAACTCGGGTTTCTATCCATGACAGTAGGAGCACTTCCGAAAGTGTCTTCTGAAATGGCATAGATATAGATTTCATATCAGGAGTTGGAATACCCGAGATAGGGCGGAGGCTGGGTTTGTGGTTTTTATCGATTTCAGGAAATTCTTTCTACTTGCTAAAAAGATCTTTTTTTTGGTCAGTTATGCGCTTTTAAATATGAAGACTCATATTTACTGGCTTGCGGAGTAGAGCTGGTACTGAGATCCTGTTTTCGTCGACAAGCCCGTTTGCTTTGGGAAAAGGATCTTTACCTGAGGGCCGAGACTCCACTGATTGACCAAGCTAGTGAAAGTACTTTACCGGGCTAAGCCACGAAGCGAAAGGAAGAGATAAAGAGGCCACGGATACTCGACTGAAACCTATATTCCCGTGCTTGTTCTGCCTAACCCGCTTTGGGATCGAAAGACATGGAACAAGCCGGAAAGGAAAAAGACAAAGAGGACGAGGGGAGAACTCCTACGCTTATTGTAGAGCTTGATTATCACCCCCTATATTTCTATCTCCTATTCTAATTCGAATTATGTCACCCACGAGGACCTTGAAACTCGCGTTTCTCTTACCAGCATTTCGAGACAAGGTTTTCTGACACTACTTTTAGCGATTTCCTGCTGTGCCCGCGATTTACATCATTTCTTTATTGTTATTGACTTTACGCGCGTCAGGACAAAGGAGGGCGAAGACTCTTCTCTTTCTTACAGAGTTTTGTGAGGACTTGACCGGACCTTTCGAACTACCTTGATACCATCCTGATAAAGAGCGTTTGCCCAGATCCACATTTTTTATATTAGCGGGTAGACGAGTCCTAGACTTTAGTTGAACGCGGCCACAGAGATTTAGAGTGGAATTCAATCTTTATGACTTCGAGAGATTGAGCACTTCAATAGAGCTGACTACCTTTCCGCGAGAAAGAAAGAGGGGATACTTTTTACGATCGCCTACTCAACTAAGGGAGATATAGTGAATAGGACTATGATTTCCAACTTACTCTTGAGAGCTATGCCAGAGGAGTTCTTTTTTAGAGACCTACGCGCCACCACTCTGATTTATGACTCTTGATAACATCCAGACATTACGAACTCACTCCTCCAATCCCCGGTTTTATGGGGTGTTCCTTCCATAGATATGACTTGGGAATATAATATATAGGACTAATAAGAGCAAGATAGGAAGAGGGAGACGATCTTGAGGGCCTTTTTTGCCACTATTATGAGGAGGACTACGCTCCTATTCCAGAGTCATACTTAGCTCGTGACTCCTCTACCCTAGGTGGAATTAAGCGGGTTGACTATTTACTAGCTATCACGGAGGAATAGAGAGGCCGGTCGGAGAAGATAAGAGGAAGAGGAAAGAGAAAGGGAAGGAGCTGTTTGGCAAGCGAGTACTTCCTGCTCAGCTCAGAACTTCAGCATCTTGGCTTTCGCTTTGAGTTTAGCCGGGTCAGATAAGGAAGGAGCGAGCAAGCAGTCCTGGGTTTAGATGGGAGTTGGCAAAGAAGTCCATAACGGGGTATGCGTCAGTCCTCGATTTCGATCTTGGCAATTCACCAGTTTTCGGATACTAGCTTGGCAGCAAGTCAAGAGCAAGAGCCAAGGCTTTAGAGTTGTTAAAGAGCGGGTAATTTACCATTCCTCGTTCCGAAGCTGGAAAGATAGTGGATCTTCTTTCTTATTGAGTTGGGCCTGTCTTTCCTGGGTCTTACCAATGGTTGGGGAATACTAAGAGGAGATCGGAAAGGGAGTAAAGGGGAGTAAGAGGCTTTGGAGTTGGGATTAGTAGTCAGTCAAGAGACAAGACAAAGGGATCATAAATTCCAGTCCTTCGACGAGCAGACAAGCCAGAACCAGAATGCGATGGTCAAAAGAAATGGCGTAAATAAAGTGACATTGTTGTCCTGTCCACGATTCCTGACGATGAAGAAGAAGCAAGGGGTTTCGCGTGAGCGATATATTACATTGATGGTGATGGGATCGATTTACAGCTATGAGAGTTTCCCCTTAGGATCTGGGATTCCACGGGTTTAGAGTTTCGAGTTGGGTGAAAAGGATGAGATCCGAAGATGGATAAAGAGAAATAGCATCTTTTACACGGGAAAGAAAGCGGGGTTCTCTCCTAGGTCGTAGGAAAGCACATTGAAATTAGTTAGGTTGGGCGAGAGCAAGCTCTTAAATATTAAAGAAAGGAGCTACTTGGGTTTGGTCTTGCCAAAGCTGAGCTTGTTCTTTCCTTGCGCGCGATAAGAGAAATTCTTTCTTCAGTCAATACAGTCAAGAGATTGGAATGCGTATTGCATTGGGCTCTTGAACTCGTCAACTCAATAACTCATATTCATATGCCGTTGGTGTGATCAAGTGAGGAAAGCGATCGCCCAGCTAAGCAATCAAGTCGAGGAGTGGATATTAGGAGTTGGGTTCGGAAGGATCGAGTCGAATTTCCCTAGTATAATAGGGTGTAGAAATTCCTTCTGAGGCACCTGGAAGATTCCTCACGATGAAGAACACGCGAGCACCTCCTTTAGTTGGTTTTTGATATAGCACTTCGATGGGTCGAGTTCCCGCTCAGATATTGAAAGAGAGTTAGAAAGTGGGTTCTTCTATCGTTGTTAAACGAGATTGTCATGAGAGCTTTTCAAAACAAAAGCAAGGGATCGAGACATCCCATTCCAAACAAAGAAAGCTGAACCGCTTACTCCTACTTGGTTAAGTAAGAGCGTCAAAGGACAATGTATAAAGTGATACGGATGTTTATGTTTGACCCCAATCTTGAGTTCCAAATGTTCCAACGAAGGACCCTCGAAATCGAGTTAGGGCATTTCATACGTCAGGGGTCGAGAAAACGAGTTTGAGATATAGAACATCGATGGGACAAATCAGGAAAGGGAGAATTTCCAGCTCTGATCTTTGGTCTGAGACCTTGCTAAACTCAATTACATCGACCCTCGATCTGACATATCAAGACGAACAGGGATAAAAGTCTCATAAGTTTTGAGCTCGTACCTCGGGGTGGAGATTTCTCCTTTTAGTTCGAGAGATGAAGTCTGGTCTCCTCAGTTAGCGGCCAAGAGTGGAATTCTCCCCATAGTTTCCGGTAAAGGGTCAAAGGACTTTTCTATGTTCGGGGAGAAGCTGGATTTCATTCAGCCATATTCGGCAAAAGTAGAAAGATCCGATGTGATACTTGTTGAAATATGGCCAACGCCAGCCCGAGGGATAAATGGCAGAAAAAGATCATCACTTTATTATATTACGCGACGTCGCCCCTG